GATAAGAACAGGTACGAAGAGAGACCTCTCTCTCACCTACAGTCTCTGCTCTATCTTCCCTTCCTCACGAACCAAAAAGACCTCGTTCCTTTCTCCAAAAACCACCTCAGATCATGATCGGAAACCTGATCTAGAACCTAGACAGAGAGAGCTATCCAACGGTATGTGGATAGTCCTTTGAGTCCTTCTGGTTCGACGGGAATCCTCCCTCGAAGTGGACTGATCGCATACCCGAAACTGAAAGTTTCCCTCCAACCCGATCTGTTCTTACTGGCCGTTACTCTTCTCTTATAAACCCTGACAGAACTGCCTCCAAGGCCTCCATCACGCCTTTTCTTAGCCCCAAGGAACAAGAACACTCAAACCTTGTTTTTCCTCTCTAAAAAACGCTGACCTACGGCTGCTCTCCCCTTTTATACACGAGCCCTAGGGTTCACATAACCTAAACCAGCCAAACCAAATAATTAAACCAAATCCGTCGGTTTAATTAAAGCTTGCATTGATCGACGCATACCCCAAATTCTAAATTTTGGTTCACGGGTGTTACATGGATTCACCAAATTTGCCATATCGTTGGAACCATAACTCGGAATGAGATGAATCAAACGCCCACTAAAGCTAACTCAATTTTATATCTACCCACCAAATTGCAGATTAATTTTGGCAAGGGAAGGCGTTCAGCGGACATCATCTTAGAGTCGCTTCGGATTGTAACTTCTTTTCGTCTGCTAAGCCGACCATTGTGGCCGACCTTGCATGCTGAAAATGGTCGGCCCCAACATAGGCAGACCGCAACTTGCTTGGTTCTTCGTCTTCTTAGTTGATCTTTTCTCTCGTTTGATCCCTCCTTGCTCCATGATTTCGTTGACACCTAAAATGGATGAAATATGTAATGCAAATACAAGAAAAAAATCTAGGCTCTAAGACTCAACATACTAAATGAAGCCTAGAATGCACATAAACATGTAAAACACAAGTCTAAATTCTAAAAATGCTAAGTAAAACATATGCTAAAAACACTAAAATATGAATGCATCAATGACCTGCCATAAAGCAGACATAGCATGACGGTTTTTGGTTTTTAATTATTTTATCTTTTAACAATTTGTTTTCACATTTGATACTTATATGATCTAGTATTTATCACTACAATTCATTTCATAATCTATATATTAAAAACAAGATTTTTTCGCATATGTTACAATTTGAATTTTAGAAATTGATATATATTACTCAAACTATTAATATAATGTTACAATAAACGTA